CCCCGGAATATTCGCCCCAAGTAAATTCGCCCCCGGAATATTCCCCCCGACAAATTCGCCCCCGGAATATTCGCCCCGACAAATTCGCCCCCGGAATATTCGCCCCGACAAATTCGCCTCCGTAGCATTCGCCCCATAACATTTATTAACCCTCGGAAGTAATAGGTTGGTTTAAATTAATTAAATAAATATTGCAAAAATTACGATATTTGGAACTCAATACGGCGAGACTGACAACTCGAAATTGTTCATATTCAATCGTCTATTCGTCTCTCAACGGTTCAACGTCAACCGTATGTTTACAATACATTTTACAACAAATTGCGTTTACAAAGGAATCTAATTACTCAGCCATTTATGGATGTATTGAAATGTTTTTGGCATCAATGTATAAACAAAGGATGATTCTTTCTTTAGACTTACATTTGAAAATTGGCTCAGATTTGATGTAAATTTGTGTTGAAAAAAACCAACATTGATGAAGTTTGCTGAAGTATCAAATCATAATTAAAATATTCTAAAAAAATCTAACTCGAAACATCATCCCATTTCTTTAAAATATAAAAAAAAGTTATATATTTATTAGTGAAGTAGTAATTAGTAGTGAAGTGAAGTAGTAATTAGTCTGCTATACGGTACTCTTGTACTCGTTCCAAATTCAGCCCGTCGGATCAGCCTTAAATTTGAGAATTTTGGTAAAAAATGTGCAAATGCCATAAAAGTTTTAAAATGTCCTATTATTATGTAAGTATAAAAATGACAGTACGGATTACTGATGCTATAAGAGTTCCTTTTTTGCTGTTGTCAGTTTGATTTTCAGATTTTTGTATTTACTTTATTCAACCTTATCTTAATTACCTATTCATATTTTAGTTAACAGCTATTTGAGTGCTATTATTCTACCCCCTTTATATACACAGTTATTACAAAAAAAATTAAAATTAAACAACATTCATTTTATGAACTGCTGGCCTTGTTACCTCCAAGGATTAATAAATCTTATGGGGCGAATCCTACGGGAACGGAATCACCGGGGGCGAATTTGTCGGGGGCGAATTTGCCGGGGGCGAATTTTCCGGGGCGAATCTTACGGAGGCGAATAGTCCGGAGGCGAATTTACTTGGGGGCGAGTTTTCTTGGGGGCGAATTTTTCGGGGCGAATCTTTCTGGGGCGAATAGTCCGGGGGCGAATTTACTTGGGGGCGAGTTTTCTTCGGGGCGAATATTCCGGGGGCGAATTTTCAGGGGCGAATTTACCGGGGCGAATTTTCGGGGGCGAATCATCCTAAAATCGTTTAAAAGATTTCCCAACATACTCTCGTCACTCACAATAGAAGAATATAACATTATCAGAATATCGAAATTGCGTCGGTTGTAACAATCTTTGATCAAACAGCTTTTAATTGCTTTATAAAAAATGTATAAAATCGCGATCTGTTTCTAAAGAAATGTTCGATATTTTTAATCCTATTCAAACAGACCAATTAACTCTTTGTAATAATGACGCAATAACGACCTGATAAATGTATTACATCCTTTTACACTTTTATGACTTAATTTCTCAATTCGTTCTTTCTTTGCTAACATAGGATAACCTGATTATTAATCTTTGTTTCCACTTATAAAATACGCCTCCAAAGAGTAGTTAATGATTTCATTATTGATCAGTAGGGAATAATGCCATTTTCGCAAACAAATTGACATTTTATTTAGTAAATGTACCAAATTGTAGTTCTTTGTACGGATTCAGGGAAAAACCTTAGAAATGTCACACGACGTTAAGCAGCCATATAAATCATTATAAAGCTTCTGACAATTTAAATTAGACGTCAAAAATAGCAAGCTTAGGTTTTGCCGCCGCGGTCGTTTCCATAGAAACAACATAGTCATATGTTTTGAACGTCATTTTATATCGTGCTCCGCATCCATTTAAAATAAGAATGACAGATGTCATTCGAATGCACAATCATCTGCTTCACTTCATATCTACCCTTGCGGTTTAAAAACAAAGTTTTGCCGAGATTAAAAGTTTTTCCCGCCCCTGTTCAAAGATCAAATTGAAATAAAGAAACACAAAACGCCTCTGCTAAGCTCAGGGGGTTGGTCGCGGTTTATTATTCATGACAATTCTGCGATATTAAACTCGTTTGTAAGAGGGTTGATTTAGACTGACAGTCCAATGAAATTCAACCAGCTCTGTTGTAGTCTGAAGTTGTAGGAGATAAAAGGTAAAGCTCATCATAAAATTTAATTTTAAAGGTATTTAGACTTTTTTTATTTGTGCCGTCGGATTATTTTCGAAACTTCATCAATATATGTATCAGGCTCTCTGGATTACATTAACTCGGACGGATTATCTACAATAATGGAATCGAAGTGTAAGTTTTTTATGGTTAAAAGAGAAATGGTGACAATAATTATCTGGGCAACACGCGAAATGAGAGTTGAATTTTTTTCCACACAATGAATTTACAATTGAACATCAGCACAATTCTACTAGATCAACCTCTCGCCCATTCTTCACTGTTTTCATTAATATAACATGCAAGAAAATTACTCAAATACTTCATGTTCGTATTTTTGTTCTCGGGGGTGCAGTTATGTAATAGGTTGGTAATAAATTTTGACTTCAATACTTGTTTTAGCCGGACGGTAAAATTTAGATCCACATTTTCATTAGGGAATTTTTGGAATGAAAGTGAAAAGTTTCGGTTTTCATTAAGTCTTTTTGAGAAGGTATTATATGTCGTTTTATTAAAAAAAAATGTAAATACGCGGGAGTCGATTAGTGTTAGTTTATAAGGTTTATGAAGGTGGATGGATGCACTTAGGTGTATAGATACTCAATTACTGTTAAAAGCACGAAGTTTCAAGGAAACCTTCTCATTCATGTCATCGGGGAAACTACGGCACTTGTTTAATTTAAAATTTAAGCTCTGAAAAGGAGAGTGCGATACATTAAACTCCCAAGAAACCTCATATTTGTTTAACGAAATACTTACCTTTACCTTCATGTTTTGAATAAATATAGCGATTTTTCAGTTTGGATTAAAATTTTCTTTCCTAATTCCTTCTCATAAAAAGGCTACTTGTTTCTGTTATTAAGATAAATGGGCGAGGTGTAAAGTTTTCAAGGAGTAAAAAATTCCCTTTAGTTGTACTGTTTCCAGTTTCAATTAATTCTTTAACGCAAGCATCTAGCGCCACATTATTTAACTTTTTAGCCGTCGTTTTACATACACTTTATGATATAATTTTGAAATTAAAATTTGCCTTTATTTAGTTACTAAGCTTGCGCCACTAGGGAGATTGAAGCTTTTAAAGTCGTATAGTGGTTATAAATACCAATTTTTGTTTTTTCTGCACGGTAAAATAAGCAAAATTTATATGTGACAGAAACGCAACCTTTTAAATGTAAATTGTGACAAAAATGCCTTTTACTCCCTTCAAGACGAGAGTGGCCAATTCTATCCCCGAACCCGAACTCGAACTTTTGATGGGACCTTTAAAGGAATTTGATGGCAATTAGGGGGAAGCTAAAGAAAAACGTGATGGAATCTCAAGAAGAACTTTGGCAGAATTCAGCTCTCGGTTTGAGGGGACTTCCGGAAAACTCGTGCAGAGTGTGGATGTCCTAGCCCCTATATGAGGAAAGGATAATTTTAGGGGGATGAGATGGACTTTAAAGAAGAAATTAAGGTGTAGAACTATGACATGCATTAAAAGTAAACAAGACGCACGATTACCTACGTATATTTGTTTCAATGTTAATATACTGAGACAATATCAGAATACAATTTTTATAGTTATACCAAAAGTGGTGAAAGGAGAGAGGGCACCAAAATTATAGACTATAGGGCGCATGATAATCTTCCTCTGTTTATCTCGTATTAGCTAAAAATATTGATTCAAGAGAAATATTCAAGTAAATCATACGAAATTGTGCGAGAAACTTTTACAGTTACTTTTTATCGCTGCAGACTGTTGCAATTTTCTTAAGATGTTTTCCAATTTTCCTATAGAACAGAATCAT